TGTTATCTTGACCTGATGACCCCAAAATCAATACGGGTTACTACTAGTTATGACAAAACAATATGTGAAATATGATATTAGACGGAAACCATTCTGACGTTAAAGGGGCAATATTCGCTGCCACGGCAGCGAGTATTTTTGTGTGTGTGACTAATCAGTGATGTAAAACTGTCTGTTATAAACCCTGAGCTAAAAATAGCATGCAGTGTTAACCTGCAGAGAGAATGTAAACAAAAAACAGCTGATTTTACACAGGAGAGGTTTAATGGCTCACAGATTAATTAAAGACATTATCAAGCCATCTTGTCCAGATATTATTTTTGAAGTCAGTTGTTTTTCTTTTTTTCACTGGAATGCTGTATGTGTCATTCATCAAGTCAGACAATTATATCCAAATCCAAAGGATGTGCCTTACATGGGACATTTCTTTTAGGAACATCCTGCTAAAAAGGTCCTTGACAGGAATTTAAAATATTTTTAAACTGTTAATGTATACATAAAAAATTTATACACATGCAACATTTAGTTTGATTAACATTTGTGAAATGTAATATTTGACTACAAGATATTTGCAACAAAATATATATAGTACCTGGAAGTTACTTTTACTGTTTTCATGAAGTTTAAACCATTCAACTACAAGTTAAATCAGTACTTTGAAATTTAAAAAAAAACTCATAGATTAATAGATTATTGTAAATTTGTTGGATATAAATACTTTTTGATAAAGTAAGTTCAGTAAAAGTTATTGTTTTTTTTATCATGTTGTGTCGGCTGCTGAAAATCTCCCTCCCTGAAATATATATCGTCTGCTCTGCCACGTGCTTCAGTTTACTACTGAAGTGAAGCATGCATAAAATTAATAAGAAACCTGCCCTAGCACTATCTGCTGGCTTTTATAGTCCAGTTGGGCCTTTAGAGCCCCTGTTATTTTGACCTTCCATTAAGTGACCTATAAATCAATAGGGATCATGTACTAGTTATGATTTATCACTATGTGAAATTTGAAAGACTTTGTGATAAATAGCTTTCAAGATAATGAGCGAAACCATATTAACATTGGACGCTCCTATGACAATGCCCTTTGACCTAGTGACCCCACAATCATTAAGTGCCATTTTCTAGTTATGACCAATCAGTATGTGAAATATTAAGACTTCATGATTAATAGCTTTCAAGATAATGAGCGGAAATCATACTTACATTGGAGGCCCCTGTGACCTTGAAATTTGACCTAGTGACCCCATAATCAGTAGGGGTCATCTACTAGTTATGGCCAATCAGTATGTGAAATATTTAGAATTTGTGATACAAGCTTTCAAATTTTGAGAAGAAACCATTCTGATATTTTAGGCCCTTGTGACCTTGACCTTTGCACTAGTGGGTGTGATCTACCTGTTATGACCGATCAATATGTGAAATATGTAGAATTTGTGATGAATGGTTTTCAAGATAATAAGCGGAAACCATTCTGACATTTAAGGTCCCTGTGACCTTGACCTTTCAACAAGTGACCCAAAATCAATAGGAATCATGTACAAGTTGTGACAAATCACTTTGTGAAATTTGAATTTTTTTGATAAATAACTTTCAAGATAATGAGCGAAAACCATAACATTCAAGACCTTTGTGATCTTGACCTTTGAACCAAATATCAAAGGTGTCATCTACTAGTTATGACCAATTAGTATGTGAAATATAAAGACGTTGTGATAAATATGTCCAAGATAATTAGACGAAACCATCCGACATTCAAGGCCCCCTGTGATCTTGACCCATGAATTAAAAGGGGTCATCTACTAGTTATGACAAATACAATTAGTATGTGAAATATGAAGTTCTTGTGATCAAAAGCTTTCAAGATAATGAGCGGAAACATTTCTAACATTTTAAGCAACTATGAACTTGACCTAGTGACTCCAAATCAGTAGGGCCATCTTCTAGGCTATGATCAATTAGTATGTGAAATATGAAGACTTTGTGATAAATATTTTCAAGATACTAAGACGACACCATTCCGGCATTCAAGGCCCCTGTGGTCTTGACCTAGTGTCCTCAAAATCAATAGGGGTCACAACTAGTTATGACAAAACAATATCTGAAATATGAAGACTTTGTGATAAATTATTTTTAAGATAATATACTGAAACTATTCTGACATTTCAGACCTCTGTTATCTTGACCTGTCATTAAGTGGCCCCAAAATTAATAATGGCCATGTCCTAGTTATGACCAATCACTATGTAAAATTTAAAAACTTCGCTTTCATGATAAAAACCGTACAAATGCCCCGGTCACATATTCACGGATAACGCAACGGAAGAGCCATGATCTAGTAGTTCACGTATTACTACGGAAGTGTGAAATTCAGTAGCCCGCTGCGGTTTCAGTAGGGCAACACAACGAAATGAGTATGGGGTTCGACGGATTTGCCGCCAAAATGTAGATAAAAGCCCCCGGAGAGACACGGGTTGTTACGGTTCGACACGGTAAGATACGGAGCGACACAAATAAGAACGGAAGCACTGCTGATACACTTCGGTCTGCTACGGTATTAGCACGGGTAAGTACGAATAAGTACGGTCTGATACGGAGAAGAAGGCATCGCCACAGATCTATACGAACCTCTTATATCCGCCCACAACCTCTTGCATGCTCATTTTAAAAAAACAAACATCTAGCAAACGAATTGCAGAGTTCAACGATACTGGCGAAGAGGATTCGGCCTCATCGCGTCCGACACCCGAGACATGTCAGGTCCGATTCTAGTGAAGTTTCTGTAGGACGCCGGACCCTCAGCAACACATTCGGTTCGGCCAAAAGACCCTCATACTTGCCAGGAAGGCGTCTTTGTAAAAACCAATATCTTGTCCACCATCTCCTCTGTCTTCTCTTACCTGATTAAATATGTACTAGTAATCATGAATGGAAAATGTTGATCAATCCTGCTTCGCTTTTGGTTTAAAATTGTTTTGTTCATTTTACAATACGTGAAATTTTATGTGTTAAGAATATGTAAAAAGCTTGTTAATCTTGTTATCGACTTATGAGATACTTCGTTTTTTTGTACATATTTACTCTAATTTACGGATCCAATGTTTTGTAATATATGTTACCTTAATGTTATTATGTAGTACGATATTAATATAATTTTTACATCTTTGCATGTCATCAAGCAGCTTGAACACTGCCTCAAAATACTGAGCCATATCAATTTCCAGTTGCAGCCAGTTAATGGCAAACATCTTTTATTGAATGTTCATAATTGTTCGAAACATGAAAACGCAAATATGTATGTTTTTAAGAAGAAGGTAGTATTTATACCCTTGAAAGAAAAAGAAGATCGACACTTTATTTATCGGTACTTAACAGTGATGGACCGTACCATTCCGTACGGTTTCGTGTTGCAACGTAATATACTGTAAAAGACCGTGCTAATCGCTGCCTCTCAGTAGTATAACGTTTTACGATCGTGGCTTTCCTTGTCAATGCCATATTAATTCGTATTTAAGTCGTAGCATATACGTAGGGTAACCGTACAAATACGTAGTTCTCCTTATCAAACCGTAGAAGTTTGGGCCTACGAATCAGTACAGTTTGTACTGTTTTCGTACGGACCAGTATGTATCAGAACGGTGTAATAAGGACTAGTAGGGATATGCTGCTGTTGATTTACTGTGCCAATTTTTTGTGCATGTTCAAAAATTGTAGGTTCGTTAAGGATATACAATGACTTCAACGATTGATTACGGTTACAGTTACAGAGAGATACAGACCAGTACAGGTAGATACGGACAATGCCGGAATTAATCCGTGACTCTTCCGTGGTCGTATTCCGTGAATATGTGACCGGGGTATAACATTCGAGGCCCCTTACACTTTGACCTTTGATCTAGTGATCCCACAATCAAAAGGGGTCATCTACTATTTATAGCTGGAAAGATAATAAGCGGAAACCATTCTGACATTTAAAGCACCTGTGAACTTGGCCAAATGATTCCAAAATTAACAGGGTCATCTTCTAGTTATGACCAATCAGTATGTGAAATATGAAAACTTTTGATAGTTTCCAAGATAAGAAGATTAAACCATTCCGAAATTCAAGGCTCGTGTGACCTTGACCTAGCGACCTGAAAAACATAAGGGTCATCTACTAGTTATGACCAATCAGCACTTGAAATATTTAGACTTTGTGATAGTTTTCAAATTTTTAGAGGAAACCATTCTGGTATTTATTTAAGGCCCTTGTGACCTCAACCTTTTGCTTAAGCACCCCACAATCAATAGGTGTCATTTACTAGTTATGACCAATAAGTATGTGTAATATGAAGACTTTGTGATAAATAGTTTTTAAGATAATAAGCAAAAGCCATGTAGTCTAGCAACGGACAGACCGACATTAGCTAAACAACATACCCCCTCTTCTTCGAAGGGGGGGGGGGCATAAATATAATCAAAGGGCCTTTACTTTGACAAAGATCATTGAACCAGAAAATGCTGATGATGTGCACAACAAGACTCATTATTCCTGTAAAGTTTGGATCATATTGCGCCAGAAGTTTCTGAGAAGTTGTCCGTCTAAGATTCATAGCTGGCAACCCGCTAAAATACTTTTTTATTCAAGGCCATTTATCGGCCAAAAATTATTCAACATACAAATCCGTGTAATATGCCAAAGTAATTAAGCTACAGATCAATAATGTACAAATATAATATAATTGAAATATCATAAAAGGGTTTTAAATCTGATAAAAATCATTAAACTATAAAATATGCACAACTAGACTTGGTGCTGATCATTCCTATTAAGTTCGGATGTCATTGCACTTGTAGTTTGTGAGGTGTAGTCCGGACAAGTTTTGTGACGGACGGACAGAAAGACGACAGAAAAGTGATCCCTTCATGTCGCCACTTTTCTGTAAAGGCGACAAAACACCTCTTATCTTGACGATCAAAACTGAAAGTATCTTTATAGCTCATATTATCCAAAATTTAATGTTTCAACTTACTTTTAAAACACGAGCACTTCCGTTCGCAGCGGCTAAATAAACAAGATTGTGTCCATCTCTATCAAGAGCATACACTGAGGCACCTATAGATATTAATTTTGCAGCAACTTTACAACTGTTGTATTTTGTAGCTATCTGAAGGAGTGTCAGAGGAGGGTTGTCTCTGTTATCTGTTTCAACTTCCTCAAATATATTCTCACATATATCTCGATACTCAACACAATGATAGTCTCTAGTTTTTTCTAAAAGAAGCTCAAATACGTTCAAACTGTCGTATCTAACTGTCGCTAAAAGAGGACTAAATTCGTTCTTGTCTCGAATCCTTACTGAAGCGTTGCTGAAATATATATCTTTAATAAACACGCTGGTTTCTGTTATTCATTATTGAAGCAAGCTTGTTCTGAATAAAGTAATTTTCTTCATATCATTCGAAGAAACATATTAAGATTATCAATTCAATGTATACATAATGAGTAAACTGTGCATTTGTCTATAATGGAAAGCCTGAATTGCCAAAAATAAATACATTGATAGTATACATGTATACGAGGGTCATTCGATAAGTTCTGATCATGACCCCATTACGTTTTTGTCTTTAATCTTAAAATGATGAAATTTTGTATGAGTACACAAACACTTATTAAGCCACTTATTGTCATAAAACACGTTTCCGTGCGACGTATGACGTCATATATATAACGTTATTTGAATTTCGCTCAAGCGCCATTGTCGCGGTAGTCCTAAATGAGCAGCGTTTATATATAATATAGTTCTTCAGAGAGAAACCGAGAAAGAAAATCCATAAAGTTCCATGTTGACAAAGTTAGGGACCTATAGAATGAAGATAGTAAGCTGAAAGTATCTGACTCGTTATTTGCGATTGCGGCGATTTTTGCCGAGATTGGTGCCACATCTCCTCACGCGAGACAATATAACGAAACAGTGAGTGATTGCAGATAGTCACTTAAAAAGATATGAAAATGAAGGGGACAGTATGTCAAACGTATAGTGACAATAGATGAGACATGGCTTCGTAGCTATGAACTCGCGGATTATTGGCGACAGACTACGTTCCTCTTGGACATACAATTAACGGAAAGTATTATGAAACATTTTTGAAAAAGAAATTGAGACCATCTTTCAGGAAAAAACGACCAGGGCTCTTAAAGTCAGGGGTTCTGTTAATTCATGACAACGCAATAAATCACACCTTAACTCAAAATGCCACTCAGGGATGTTTAATAATTAGACGAGCTTAAAATTGCCGTCGTCACGGAGATTCAATGCATCACACGCGGTTGCCGTGCAACGGGAATAGCCGATGTATCGAACAGATGGAAAGCGGTTGTAAGAAACAAGTTTAGTTTCTTTGAAGGATTATAGATAAGGTAGGCGTGAATCACTTATACTTTTCTTAAGTGGCAGTTTGAGTTTAGGAAAAAGGTCATAGTCACAGGGACCATTATCAGAACTTATTAAATGATGTCGTATAATCAGACATAAAAACAAACCACTAATAATTAAATACTGATTTAATTCGCATTGAATATTCCATGATAACTGACGTATGAACTCATCTGCGATCTTTCTTTACAAAATTTTACCATTTTTTTTAATGTGGAAATCTGCTTAAAAATAGAGAATATAAAAATTCTCAAAGAAAGCCCAACACGGAAAATTGAAAATGTTACAGACTCTGTTTGATTGAGCCTGTTCATGGACGGTAATGGTAAATGCAAGTTACCGCCCACGCCCCTAGCACAGGCTTAAGCAGAAATCAACACTTTAAAACATGAATTTAGAATTTTGAAACATCCGCAGATTTGTTCGTTTGGCGGCCATCATGGAACCTTCAATGTGACGCGTAAGTGCCATTCCATGAAAAGCGGCCTATGGTCCCCAAGTAAAAAAATGCGTGTGCCCTTAACGTGAAAACAATGGGTGAAACTAGATAAAATGGAATTTTGAAAGGGGATCTGAGGATATGAAGCCTGCTTTCACAGATATGACTTCAAAAGACAAATTTAAAAAGCAGGTCACATATCCTAAGGGTGATTCAATAAGGAGGCTAATCGTTGCCAAAAATCCAGCCTTGTTGATCTGAGTTGAACAGGTTGTTAACGGACAAAATACAATTGCATTTCTTTGTATGTAAACTCCAATGTTGCATTCTTGGATTGAGTTTGCCGATTTAACATTGTAAACATGCATTTCAACAAAATACATTTTGTTAAACGACAAAACATTAACTGTTTTGCTGATAGTAGCAATACCAAGTGTTCGAATACTCATTGTTCGTGTATACGCCGACAAAACAGAAGTTACATTCTTAGCTTTACATTGTCGAACCATCATGATTCGGATCAGCATAATCCAGCTTTACACGTTTTTCAATAGGAGATAAAATAAGCTCCGCCCATTTTCCCGCCCACTACATCATCGTAAATAAACGTATTTATCCGCTCATTTTCGGTATTTACCGTCGGCGACAAGAAGCGGCGTAGTTTCCGTTTACCACACCTTTTAGGTGTTTAGTTATTCACCAAACATAATTCACTTGCATGATTGCCATTCTATGCCTTTATACAATCAACATCAGCGGACTTTAAAGGATTATATTATAGGCATATAAGTTTTAAAACGTTGTAGATACCACATTTCCTAGAAAAAGAAACTAAAAAAAAATAATAAAAAACTCACCAGGCTACTTACTGCCTGAGGTTAAATATTTTTCAAGGAAGTAAAAACTATTGATAAGACTATATTCAACGACAAATAAATTTTACTGAGGGTATTCCAATTTGCATAGGAATGAGTAACATTTACAGTTAAGCTGCTACCTTACCACTTTCAAATTTCCAAGTCAAGATGTGATAGAGATTTTGATATGACTAATTACTAATACTGACCAAATTCTGGCTGTTGTCTTTCCTAGTAGTAGTAGCATTTACTATTACATTAGTAACCTTAATTCTAGCGTGTGACTTGACAAGAAAAAACTTGTAAAAAAAAATAGTAAAATGATAACCAAAGTTGTTATTTCTAACTTTTTATTTTTACCATACTGTATACTAGATATATTTTTCCATATTTTGGGTTGTAGAAAACCCAATATTTTTTACTAAGTGTATAACCACGAAACAATTCAAAGTTTACTATCGATAATTCCGTTTTGTGAATTTGTCCCATCTAAATGTTGAAATAAATATTCAGTGTATCCTAGCATCTCTGTTTACCTCCATTGGGAGGTATTTTGAGTTCTAGGATGTGATTTAGCCTTTTATTATTCAATATATATAAGCTGACGTAGGTTAAGGTCTTTTTATGCATTGTACTGAATCAATAGCAACTCTAAAATCTGTGTATACATGCTGTCAATAGCTGTTACTTAGACTTGCTGTCTATCTGATCAAAAGCAGAGAACTATTTTTTATGTACAGAAATATTTAAGTTTTTTAAGTGATGGTTTTCTAAAAGATAAAATAAACAAATCAGCATACATACCTTTGGACTCATTTAAATATGATTATTGAAAAACAAAATGGTAAATATGATGAACAAGATCAACAAGGAAAGGCGGCGTTATAATGAAGCCTCGATGGCAATGTGTTAGACTTTTAGTTAGTTTCAAATAATTCATTGTGATTTTTATGTTTTCTTGTATGATTTGTTTCTATATTGTGCAACATTTGACCATTATGTGTTATGCCTGCAAATCACAATGTAGAGTCGTGCACCTGGCAATAAAAGTTTATCAAAATTAAACTAAAAATGCTAGAAATGAAACACACGATTTTTCATATTGTTAAAAGATATAATAAAAATCAATTTATAGAAACTACAAAAAGGATTTGTCCAAGATTCGAACTTGCGCCTTCTAGATCACAACTTCGTTATATTTTCCACTAGGCCATCGAAAAGTATAATTTGATATATAATTGAACTTACAATAAAATCTTTAACATTAATCATAATAAGTTACGGAAACTAGCGAAACGCCTCCCAAAAATTTATAAGTCAATATTGTCAAACAATACTTCTTTATTTTATTATGATAAAAGTTTCTTGACAATATTGCTTAGCAAGTTTGCTTCAACTATGATGTTTTATTATGAATAAACATTACTCAACATATTGTTCCCCTTTTCTATATACTTGAACCATTTAACTGAAATTTTCTAATTGTTATTATACAATCATTTTTTTATCCGGAGACTTGATGCTTTAGCATCAAAACCTCTACTTGTTTCATATATTTATTGAAAAGCTGTTAGAAACATCTAGAAACTATCATTATTATGTTGTTATATTTATTCTGATTTATATCTTTTTCCAACATTTCTTGCAAGCTTTTTAGACAGGGCTACCGCTACCATCCGTTAACGTTAATATTTAACTAAAAAAATATCCTTCTTTCAAATTATTTTGAATTCTCCTTAAGTCGGTGTTAAGAGGCGTGGGCGGTAGTTTGGACTTGACAGTACCGTCCATGAACAGACTCAATAAAACCGAGCCTGCAACTCTTAAATCATGCCGTGTTGAGCTTTCTTAAGGGATTCTTATTATCTCTTTTTGATTTAAATATTAAATAGTAATGCTACTAGGGATTACTTATGGGGATGTAATTTACAAACTTTGTTAGATCTTGGGTCAATGTAAATTGCGTTCATTGAACGCCGCCCTTCCTTGTTGATTTTGTTTTTCACATTTAGCTGACTTTACTGTAAAAAAGAAAAACAGAATCCCATTAGAACGATAAAATTGAAGAAAACAAATTTAATTGATAGGTTATGACACAACTATTTTAAGACATACCGCTGTCATAGTGTTCATTGTTTAACAAAAAAAAGAAAAACAGAAGACAACTAAAAGAAAGCCCAACACGGCAAAATTGAAAATGTTGCAGACTCGGTTTGATTGAGCCTGTTCATGGACGGTACTGGAAGTACAAATTACCGTCCACGCCTCCCCCCCCCCCCCCCCCTCGGCCCCAGCATCGGCTTAAGCAGAGTTTAATATTTAAACACGAAAATGGTGAAATTTTGAATTAAGAACATCCGCCGATGTGTTCATACGGCGGTTATCTCGGAACCTTCAATGTGACACAGTGTTATTTTATGAAACGTATGGTCTTCAAAACAACCCTTTTACAGTTTGACACTACCTAACCTTTTTGGTTACATCTGACGGACCAAAGTACGATAAACAAGATTAACAAGGAAAAGCGGCGTTCAATGAACGCAAGTTGAAATAAAAGAGAAAATAAGAATCCCTAAAAATGACTGTGACACAGTAGTGCCATTCCATGCAAAGCGGTGTATGGTCCCAAAGTAAACAAAACCGTGTGCCCTAAACGAAAAAACAATGGGCGGATCTTAACAAAACGAAATTTTGAAAAGGGATCAGAGGTTATGAATACTGCACATATAAGATAAGACATCAAGAGACAAAGTAAAAAAAAGGAGGCAACATAACGTAAAGGTGATTTCACATTATTCTCTTATGATTATTAAACTATTTTGATGATTCCTAGGTCAATTTAGAATATGATTCGTCTCCGGTCGAAAACTAGGTCACAGGAGATAAAAAATAGAAAAATCTTGTTAACACTCTAGTAGCTGCTCTTTTGATCCAAATATCCTGGAAATTAATAAGGAAAGTTGATTTGATTATTTCTATGTCAAGTTTGAATATGGGTCGTTTCCGGTCAAAACCTAGGTCACATAAGCTAAAAATAGAAAAATCTTGTTAACACTTTAGTGGCTTTTTTGATCCAAATATCCTGGAAATTGGTCTGAAAGTTCGTTTTGATGATTTCTTGGTCAAGATTAAATATGGGTCACCTTGATTAATAAACTAGGTCACACCGCCCACATATGGAAAGAGAGAAAAACAGAATCCATGACGAAAGCCAAACAAGGCAAAATTATAAAATGTTGCAGGCACGGTTTGATTGAGCCTGTTTAATGGTCACATTTTTTACTCAATTGTCATCAAACTTGGTCAGGATGTTTGTCTCGTAATTGATTGGAGGAGTTTGAACATGGATCATTTCTGATAAAAACTAAGTCACAGGAGCTAAAAGTAAATCTTTATCAGTCTCTAGTGGCTACTATTGTTATCCAAATATCCTGGAAATCGGCCTGTAGGTTTGTTTTTATGATTACTATGTCAAGTTCGAATATCGGTCACCTTAGGTAAAAAACTATATATGTAAAAATATGTAAAATATGTAAAAAAAAACCGTAACACTCTAGAGGTTATGTCTCAATTGTAATTAAACTTGGTCAGTATGCTTGTCTATGCAATTGTAATTGCTCGGATGAGTTCGATGGTTCAGTTGAGCGGTAAATGGCCATTTTGTCCTTCTTGTTAATATAATACATTTAAGGAAAATAAATGACAAGTTCTATTAAGGACACATTTGGACCCCAGGGTAATTTGAACTATCTCGGTAGAGTCCAGCAGTCATGGCCTTACGCAAAATATTTGCTTTAGGCATTGTTGGTCTTTAGAAGGATTAGAAATTCTTATATTTCGTATTTCTACATGGAATCAGATTTTTTTGAATAACTGGCAAGTTCGGCTGAAAGCGAACTTATGCTTTTTAACAAGATTTTTTCACTTTAATATAATGATATATGTACAGGTGAATTGCTATGCAGATGAATGAGCGAACAGTAGTTAGACCACTATTGAAGTGCTTAAAAGAGATAAATACAGTATCCCTAAAGAAAGCCCAACACGGCAAAATTGAAAATGTTGCAGGCTCGGTTTGATTGAGCCTGTTCATGGACGGTACTGGAAAGTGCAAGTTACCGTCCACGCCCCCTAGCACCGGCTTAAGCCGATTTTAGTCGTTCTTATGGAATTCCGTTTTCTCTATTTTATTGCTACATCAGTGATATTTGTGCCGTGTGGAGGCTGTAAAAAGTCACCTCGTACATATAATAAAAATCAATTCATTCTCGATCCTTGAAGATCGTTCAACATAACATTATTGTTGTGTGTAAAAGCTTGTGGTATTTAAGGATCATTTTAATTTGCCTTTTTCAACTTTATAACCTCAGATTCCATTTTAAAAAATTGCATTTTATTCAGATCCGCGTATTTTTGTCTCGTGAAGTGCACACGCATTCTTTTACATGGAGACCATACTTCTGAAGCTTCCTGGTGCCAATTCATAAAATGTTCTATAAAAAATAAAACCTAATTAGGAGTTTATAACTCCTACGTTAGAGATACAAAAGACTTATAAGGAGTTTACGTAGGACTTTTATAAGTCCTACGTAGACTTTATAACTCATACGTAGGAGATAAAAAGCCTATTTACGAGTTATTAGTCCTACGTAGGACTTTATAAAATTCTGGAAACAAAGTGATCCCTCGGAAGCATTAATCACAACAAAATAACATAAGAATTGCAGACTCGGTTTGATTGAGTCTGTACATGAGGGATAATGAATATGTGCAACATCCCTCACGCCCCCTAGCACCGGCTTGAGCGGTACTCAATTCTCAACACTTTATAGTGTTGGCATCAATGATCCCGAAGGACCAGAAAATATAACAACACTGAAGTGAAGTACGGGGCAACTTTTTACGGCTGCCACACGGCACTTGACACCTGCTGTCGTGAAGTACAAAATTTTGGAAACAAAATGATAAACCTTATTTTAAACTTTGCACAAACTCGGACATTAAAGTTCGACCGTTTTCATAAAGAACGCTTCGCAAATCTCATTATTCTGGACCGGCAATGGAATAAAACAAAACACTGAACCTCCTCCCCCAACCCAAGAAACACAAGTTTTAAGTCTTAAATTTTGAGGACACTTCACCTTTCAAGACAGTGTCTGAGGTTTCTGGAGTAAGAAGTGTCTTGGTGTGACATGTCTGTAAGCATCTGCGATGTATCCCGATAATTACTTGTCAGCACTTCGAACATTCTACTCGACAACAAGCATTTAAATGTCTAAAATATTAATTTATCAACATTTTAAAAGGCTTTAAACATTACAATTTCCATTGGGGGGGGGGGGGGGGGGAGTGTCTTGTTCCGGCCCCAGAAAGTTGCGATTTGCGAAGCATTAGGAATGCATAACCTTGTTTGAACAAAGTTAAAATATGAAAAACAAGATCAACAAGGAAAGGCGGCGTTCAATTAACCCATACAAATTTATTTGTTCTATTAATATTACTAAACATACATAATGCAGAATAATATATGTAGAGAATGACACTAAAGTGAGTTCTTTTTCGGAACTTGTGTTTGTCCAAAATCATCTCTGGTTACAGAATAAGGTTATTTACTAAAACGGCCTGCCCAGTAAAATTTGACCAATATTATTTATTTTCCTATAAAATATGCTATCCTAAGGAATGCTTTAGCATACATGTCCGTCTCAGCACTTTGATATATATTCAACGTATGAGTCCGTACTAGACTTTTATCTCCTTTATAGAGTTATAAAGTCCTACGAAGAAGGTATAAACATTTGGAAACAAAGATATCCCTCAAAAGCATTAATAAGAAAAAAATTACAGGAGAATTTCAGACTCGGTTTGATTGAGTCTGTAAATGAGGGATATAGTCTCATTACATAGACTCCTTACAAAATAATCAAAGAGAGAAAAACAGAATCCCTAAAGAGGGCCCAACACGGCAAAATTGAACATGTTGCAGGCTCGGTTTGATTGAGCCTGTTCATGGACGGTACTGGAAAGTGCAAGTTACCGCCCACGCCCCCTCGCACCGGCTTAAGCAGAATTCAACATTTAAACACGAAAATGGTGAAATTTTGAATTTAGAAACATCCGCAGATGTGTTCATACGGCGGTTATCATGGAACCTTCAATGTGACGCTGTAGTGCCATTCCATGACAAGCGGCGTATGGTCCCCAATTAAAAAAATGCGTGTGCCCTAAACGAGAAAACAATGGACGGAACTAAATAAAATGGAATTTTGAAAGGGGATCTGAGGTTATGAAGCCTGCATATCACAGATAAGACGTCAAAAGACAAAATCTAATTACATACACTCTTTACTCCTACATAAAGTCCTACGTAGGAGTAATTCTTATGTTTGTTGTGATTAATGCTTCCGAGGGATCACTTAGCTTCCAGAATTTTATAAAGTCCTACGACGGAGTTATTTATTCCTACGTAATTTTCTACTTGTGAACCTTTATGTGATGCTTACAATGAAGGCAGATAATAAAATAAATTACCTTTTTATAAGCTTTTTTGCAATCTCCAGTTTGTCGTGCTGTGCTGCTATATGTAAAGGTGTTCTTTGCTTGTTGTTTCTGTCATCAACTTGATCAGGACAATTCTTTAGTAGCATGTCAAATATGCCCAAATTGTCGCTTTTTGCAGCAATATGTAATGCTGTGTTTCCATCTTTATCTTTTTCTTTTAAATATCTGTTATCCTTTGCCTCCATTATTTTTTTTATATCATCTTCAAGTTCAAGTCCAGAATGTAAGCACTTTGAATAAAAAATCGATAATATGGTTAACATTTTAACAAAATAAAATGTCTTTTTTGAATTATGACATCTTTCTGCTGATGTAGTTGTTGAATGGAGTCTATAGATGAATGCATTTATAACATGATAGATAATATGCTTCTCATTTGTTAACGCTTTATATGATACATATGTTACATTATTTTTGGAACCCGTAAAAACAAGATCAACAAGTGACAATAAAAGAACGTATCCCCCAACACAGGACGAACACCGGCAAGGAGTCCAGCAGGATATCAAATAGAGAAAATAAGAATACCTAAAGAAAGCCCAACACGGCAAAATTGAAAATGTTGCAGGCTCGGTTATTTCACACGGGCAAATAACAACAACGGACAGGATATCAGTATAATGACGGTGGTACTACTCAGAACCGGAGGTTTTTCTTTATATACATATGTAGAGTGAGGGTCGACAAATAATGGTGTAGGTGTAACTTAAACCCCCTTCAAATCCCATAAAATATAAATGATAGAAAAGTCTTTACTTGAAGTGTATTACAAAAACGTAAAAAGTACAAAAGTAAGCTGATGAATATGGGGCTTTGGTGCCAAAATTCAATTTTTATAACATATTAAAACAAGACAATCAAGGATGGGCGGCCTTTAATGAATGCAACCCCCACACGACCAAAAAACACAGGACCACCGGCAAGGGGCCCATCAGGAACCAATCAAAAACAGGACAGGACACAAGGTAGAGCATGGACAAGTGATTACCTTTATACTACATACAGGAAAGAATAGAAACCGGCAAGGAAATTACAGAACACAATTAATAACTAACATTTCACATCGTTTATCAACCTTCAACGTTCCGAGGGGTAAAACCCTTCTTTATCAAGAAATTTGCTGTTTATGTTTATTTTCATTCCATCGTTTTCTAATGCTATGTTGTGAACATATCATTACAGGAAATGACGTCGATGACGTCAACGATAAAAATATACAAAAAGTGATGTTGACGTTTCCTGTGATTTTTTTTAACTGCACAATGTTCAGGGCTGGGAATCAGAACTATGTCGTATCCTACAATTTGTAACGAAACTATGAATGAATAAAGGATAATAACTGTAATAAGTCCAAATAGAGTTATGATTTCTACGCTCTGCACTTCATCTTTCTGCCCTTGACCATTGTATGGAGTTTCATTCAAGTCCAACCATTAATTTTCAAGGTATGCACTGGATAATAAAAAGGAACAAAGGGCAACAACTCTAAAATGAGTCAAGAAAGAGTAAAGGTTTCTGTGCACTGCGCTTCCTCTCAATATACCGGACAATTGTATGTAACTGTATTGAATTTACACAAATCGTTTCCAAGCTCTGGACAAGAAAAAAGCAATGGAAAAGTTACAAAAGGCAATCACTCTATAATTACTCTGGACAGAGGAATGGTTTTTGTGTACTGCACTTCCTCTAATTGCGCTTGACACTTGTATGAAGTTGTTTTGAATTACAACCAGTACTTTTCAAGTTCCAGACAAGGAAAAGTATCAAAGGGCAATAACTATGTAATTTGTCAAATTGGAGTAATGGTTCTTGTGCACAGTACTTTTTTTAATGTGCTTGACAATTGTATGAAGCTGCATTGAATTCCAAGTAGTACTTTTCAAGTTTTGCTTCGGACAAGGAAAAATAACAACAGGCAATAACGGGACAAAAAAGCAATGGAAAAGTAACAAAGGGCAATAACTCTGTAGTTACTTTAGATAGAGTTATGGTTCGTGTACACTGCACTTTCTCTTATTGTGCTTGGCGATCGTATGAAGTTGTTTTGAATTTCAACCAGTAGTTTTTTAGTTATGCTCCGGTCGAGGAAAAGTAACAAAGGGCAATAACTCTGTAATTAGTAAAGATGGAGTTATGGTTATTGTGCACATAACTTCCTCTCAATGTGCTTGACCATTGTATGAAGTTATATTGAATTCCAACCATTAGTCTTTAAGCTAATATCCGGACAAAAGAAAGCAGTGGAAAAGTAACAAAGGGCAATTACTTTGTAATTACTTGAGATAGAGTTATAATTCTTATGCATTACACTTTCCCTTATTGTGCTTGACCATTGTATGAAGTTGTTTTGAATTCCAATCAGTAGTTTTCAAGTTATGTTCCGGACAAGAAAAAGTAATAAAGGACAATAACTCTGTAATTAGTGAAGATGGAATTATTGTTCTTGTGCACTGCACTTCCTCTAAATGTGTTTTATCATTGTATGAAGTTGTTTGAATTCCAACCATTAGTTTTCAAGTTATGCTCAAGACAAGGAAAATGCAACGGACCGTTGGACCGACCGACCAACCACCGGGTGACTCATATATACCCCCACCCCCCCTCTCTCTCAAACTTCTTTTCGGGGGTATAATGATGCCAATTACAGCAAAAATCTCCAACAAAAATCACAAATAATATAATAATAGTAGCATTATTATACCCTAGGGTGTTTATAGGAGTCAGCTTGTCGGTCGGTATATAACATGAGTTTGGAATGAGGTATTGTTATCAAACTTGGTACATAGCAACATTATGTGGACACCCCGGTTGGTATTGCATTTAACCCCCCCCCCCCCCTGGGGTCAAAGTCACTCGCAATAAAATAGAAAAATGGTTTCCGGACAATAACTAGAGTTAGGAATGAGATATTTAAATCAAACTTGGTTTATAATAAGCTCATAAGAAGACCCTGGTTGTTTTATGCATATGGACCCCCTGGGGTTAGGGTCACCATTTCTAAAAATAGAAAAGTGGTTTCCGGGCAATTGCTTAATTTAGAAATGAGATATTGTTATATTGCAACATTACGTGGAAACCCGGGTTGGTATTGCATTTGGATCCCCTGGGGTCAAGGTCACTGTTACTTAAAATTATAAAATGATTCCATGACAATAAATAGAGTTAGGAAAAGATATTGTAAGCAAACTTATAACAAGCTTATATGCAGACCAAGGTTGGTATTGCATTTGGACCTCTTTGGTCCAGCCCAATGTCACTATTACAAAAAGTAGGAAAATGATTTCCGTTAAAATAACTAGAGTTGGGAATAAGATTTTGTAATCAAACTTGGTTTATTGCAACCTTATGTTGAAACCCTGGTCGGTATTGCATTTGAACCCCTTTGAATCAAGGTCACAGTTACTTAAAATAGAAAAATGGGTTCCGGACAATAACTAGAGTTAAGAATGAGACATTTTGATCAAACTTGGTTTATAGCAAGCTTGTATGAAGACCCCGGTTGGTATTGTATTTGGACCCCCTTGGGTCAAGATCAAGGTCGCCGTCACTAATGATAGAAAAATGTTTTCCGGACAATAACTAGAGTTAGGAATGAGATATTGTAATCAAACATTGTATGTTGCAACCTTATGTGGAAACTCAAGTTGGTATTGCATTTGAATCACCTAGAGTCAAGGTCCATGTCATCGTTACTTAAAATAGATAAATGGTTTCCGGACAATAACTAGAGGTAGAAATGAGTTATTCCACTCACATTTAGTAAAAATCAATAATAATAAACTAAGGGCAAAGGGCTGATACTTACCGTAGACAAGAAGGAACATAAATGGTGGTCTTAATCCATCATTTCAACATTATAAAACTCACTAGCCCTTTCTACAGCAAGAAAATATACACTCATCTCTGATGCATTATGCGATTCTTGCGAACTATTTAAGAAGAACTGATTTATATGTGTCAAGTATTCATAATACGAGACCAAAAGGAAATTAATCATTTAATTATTTTTTTCCAGAATTATTTTCTGCCCTGTTAAGAGGAAATATTATCACATCAAATTCAAAGGTAAAAAATCATATTACTTTAAAATGAATATACAAAGTGGCCTGTCATAAAATTTGTAAAGTTTAAGCTTTGATAACAATACCCACTTATGAGCTACCTTAAGACAAGTCAAATGTGATAAAGTTACGCTTGTGGTCTTAATTTTTTATTATAGTTATCAGAAAGCAACAAACCTTGATGATCAGCTCCCATTTATACTTATTGTCTGCATCATCATCGTCATCTTCGTCGTCGTCGTCATCATCATCATCATCATAATCATTTACGTCGTCGTTTTCCGTCTCATTATCCTATAATTTGTTTAAATATAAGACATTGATATAAAATATGAGACACATGAAAATATATTTGATATTTATCTATTTGTCAAGTGGTGCATATTAGTATGAACTAGCAGAGTCTATGACATCTAGACCCCTTGACACCTCGACCCCTTGACACCTCGACCCCTAACACATCTCGACCCCTTAGACCCCTAAGACACTTAGACCCCTTAAATTGACTGGACATTTCGACCCCTTATTCAATATTGTACTTGAAGACGTTTACTTCGAAAACATAATTTGCATAAAGACGTAAATATAGAAAAAAGATTAATTTGCTTACAAATTTGTTTACTATATATAATCTAAAAGATATGCTGAATAATAAGTGAAATCATATTGAGCCGTTACTTGTTATACAAGTTAAGTACTTTATATAAGGAATAGAAAGACACGCACAACATTGAAACAGAAAGTATAATATATTATGTATATGTATAAATAATATCAGAAATAACAGTAATTGCAATAGAAATTGTAAACGATTTTTTATGATATAAATATATATCAGTCGTTTTGTAATTTACTTTTTTCTAAGCAAATATTGTCATTATTTCCATGTGCACTTGTTAATTTCTGTTACTCGAACTACTAATATCAGGAAATCTTAGGTTTCTTTGTTAAATACTATATTTAATGGAAAAAAAAGATGTACCTGTGTTGTTATACATGAGATAAAAGTATATTCTCGAGGACGTTAGTATGAAATTAATTAAGTATCGATAATTTTTCTATCGTTACAAATCGTATCAAATTACGCAAAGTAACAAAAATTTTCCGAAAATTAATAGAGACCC